TATTGTTATCATAAATTAGATTGAATCTTTTCCTTTTGTCTTACAACTTATCTTTATCCAGTTCTTTTCAAATGTCGTTTATTCAGGACAGATTTTCTCTTATATCTGAAGGTTAATGTTTATCTCATATAAAAATAATAATCTTCTTATTCCAATTAAACAATAGTGTTTTAAGTACAAGTCTTTACTTCTTTATAAAATGAAAGTGTTTTTCTTTTTGCAACAATCTTAATTAGTCTTTAATAAATTTTTCCCTCGGCAAGAAACCTCTGTTGAGTAAGAAGAGTGTATTCTAAAGAAATAGGAGAGTGTGGGACTTTCCGTTTAAGGATCTGTTAAAGTAAATTGGTAAGGTTCACAGGACAAGGAGTAATAAGAGGGCGGAGGGAATCTGAAAACGAATCGAAACTAACCGTTCCCTTCTTAATTAACCGACACTAATTTCTCTCTAACATTTATTGCATTTGGTCTGTACCAATTAGCTTGGGTTCTCAGGCTGGAAAGAAATGTTAGGTTTTTTGGTGGGTTTTATCCTTTATAAACAAGAACTTTTAAAACTTCTAATCAATTCAAAGTTTTTATTAAATTGACAGATTTTATTTTTTGTGGTTGAGTTTTCTATCGTTCTGGTCCGCCTGGTCTCGCCATCTTCAGTTATCACAGAACGTCAGGATGGTCGGAAATTAACAAACTACAGACCAGCCATTTGTTCACCATTATAATCTTGATAAGAATAGTATTTTTTTCTAAATCTCATTTCACCACCTGTCACTACTTTATCGATCATTCGTAGCGTTTTGAAAGTAAATCACGAATGGTCTGGTAGCTTAACAAGTTCGGTGCCTTGTAACGACATCCCATACATTCGATAATTTGAAACTACCTTCTACAAAAACCTGGATTTCAATTCTCCAGTTGTAAACGTACGAGCACTGACCAACGATTGAAAGTGTAAATCTTATTAATAATTCAGTATTTTTCGTGGTCCGCTTGACCAATTAATAACATTCAATTAATTAAGGTTTTAAGTTGAGATAAAAAAAGTCATTGTCACGAGCGGGATTCGAACCCACGACCACTTGAGCTATCGTGACTTCGATCCCCTCGGGCACTAACTTCCCACCTTTTGAATTTTCCCTCCTTTTTGCCATTTTTCATTCTTTTTCTCTGTGGCCATTTTAATTGTCGCCGAGAATCCAATCCGATTACACGACATTTGAAAAATGGCAAAAAGGAGGGAAAATTCAAAAGGTGGGGTTGAGATGGGAAGTTAGAGCCCGAGGGGATCGAAGTGACGATAGCTCAAGTGGTAGAATAGCAGCGTATAAAGCCGAAGGTCGTGGGTTCGAATCCCGCTGGTGACACTGACTTTTTTATCTCAACTTAAAATCTTAATTAATTGAATCTTATTAATAATTCAACTTCTGGGCTTATCTTTTAGATCGGATTTTTGCTGTTTGGCCAAGTTTTGTTGATTAAATTTGGAATCGCCCTCAGGGCTGTGTTTGATGAGGTTAACTCGCTTTCTTTTCACAGTTAAAAGCTCACGCATTGGCCGGATGCGTTCCAGGGAGATAAAACGCAAGGTTTATAGCTGCCAGGCCCGTTTTACAGACACGGTTAAGATAGCGTGCCGTAGGGTCTAGTTTTTATTATTGACATACTTTTGATAAACCGGCCGATTCAGATAAGACCAAGTTATTGAAATATCATAACTGACAAAAAACATGCAAAAGTAACTTATAATTTATAATTATATTCAGCAAATAAAACATACAAAACAACGAATACAGGTGGACCAGGATGGACGGAAATGACCCGTTTCGAGGCCCATCATCAGACTCCAACGAGAAATCAGTATTATTAATTAACAAATGCAATCTAGACTAATATTTATGAATATCTAACTAAATTTGCTTTCACTTAGTCGTGTTCATTAATAAAAACACTGCGGTTTTGAGCCAAGTTGTTGAAACAAAATTGTTAGATCCTTAATTTCGGTGTACTTGGAAGTATTTGCCTAAGGTACTTAATGATGCAAAGCCTTCTTTTGGAAAACAAAACGTATGAAACTTTATTCCTTTAAGGCTAATTTGTTTGACTTAAATTAAAATGACTCTTTATGACATCTATGGGGTCCGCCTAGTCTCGCTGCGAGGTCTTTCAGACTCATCCTTACTAGTTAATCTGCCTAGTCTGAAATGCCAAGGAATATGAAAAAGACACAACTGATAGAAAAACAAACAAATCCACACTGAAGATGGCGTATGACAGGCCAAAAGAACGAGTATGGATGATGATATGATTGAAAACGAACAGACTAACGATGTAAGTTAGCAAGAGTATCATACTTCCTTATCAAATAATCAATTTTGAACTGTAACAACGTTGTACGGATATATCGAAGAGTAAACTGTGTTCCGTAGAATTACAATTGTCTTAAGATACTTGATTTTAAAAGGCGAGTGCTTTTCAGATTGCGCGTCACTGTACATAAGCATGACTTGTTGATTGTCACGGAGGTTCCAACCTACAACGGGAACAGTTCGGCTTTTTGAAACTCGTTAAAAACAACTTGGAGTCCGGTGAAGGGAAGGGTTGAGTCGTCGCATCGGGTCGCACGGCATAATGAGTTAGATGATGAATGCGATTGCTCAAGCCGGACTGCGGACAATGCGGACCTCTTCCTGGCCGATTTGTTTGCATTAAATTCAAAAAGGAATGTTTGCAAAGTAATCGTGGGACGGGAAGCACTAGAAAGCAAGCAAATACGCCTCACTTACATTTGACTAGAAATGGTTTTGAGTGAAAGCTCACCTTGCCTGGTAACAACATTCATAATTGTATAACACTAAATGTTTTCCTCGATTTAGCAGTTTAACAAAATTAGGAACAAACAATTTAAATCCACTACGATGATTGCTATTTAAATTGTGAGATTTCCTATTGGAGACTTCGTAGAGACGAAATTTTAGTTTGGTCATATCTTCTCTGTTTTGGTCTGTCAGATGGGTTTCGCCATTTCTCCATCGTGGGTTTTTAAGCATAATAGAGATAATACGAAAGCCCGCTGAAGATGGCGCAAAGCCTTCGCAACCCTACACGCGAGTAAGCGACCTAGTTCCAGTTCATTTAGAATTACTTAAATCGAGATATTTATTACTTGTTGAGGTTTGAGGGTGTTGGAGCTGTAGTTTGTACTACGTATATTGAATTACAAGTTCAGGGATAAGGTCTAAAAAGCCGATAAGACTCTCGACAAAAAGCTGACAGATCAAAGCAACTATATAGACAGACAGATCACAAGAAACCCCTAGTTGGCTCGTTTTTTAAATAAATATTTTCAGTGGCTGGTCTGTGTATTATTTCGTCAGTTGTGCCCAACAATAATACATTTTTCATTGAGGGTAAGTTGCTTAGGACCTGGATTGTTTGTTTTGGTTCATCTTGGTCCGCTTGGTCTCGCTCCTGTTTTTGTCTATGTATTCTGAAGGGGCAAAGAAGTGTAATAAATACAAGACTGACCAGGAAACACCCAAAATGATTACTGATGATGAAAAATGCGACTCGCAGACCAAAACAGCGAGGAAAGAAAGACAGGGATCACCTGTAGTTTAGTCCTATCATCCTGGGACGCCTAGTCTCGCCTATGTTTTGCCTTTGGTCTGAAGGAGTAAAAACTGCAAGACTAATAAGAAAACACACATATCCACCGTTGATGATGACGAAATGGCGAAACGACTTTACATATCAAACTAACGCAGATAGAAATACCAGAATCACAGGAAACATTCAGTTTGACTTTTTTATTGTTAATATTTTCAATGGTAAGACTGTTATTTCTTCAGTCGTGTCCTAACACTAACCAACTTGGTTTCCTTGCTTGAATAGTGTTCACTTGAGAAGTCATTGTTGAAGTTAGAGAGATGATGGACATGTAATTGAGTTATTTCCATTCATCCTAGCATAGTCTCCCTTTTATATTGAATTGTATATTCTGAAAAAGCAAGGTCAAGACTGTGGTATAAAGAAAGGACACAAATGACATTACACGCTAAATTGCCACTGATGATGGCAAAACGTATCTGGCAGACCAAAACAGCGATGATAGAAAGGATCAAAGGAAACCTTTGTCGTCAAATTTTCAGCAGGTAGTCTATGTAATATTTTATTAGACGTGTTGTACCACTAAGAAAAAAAGTGTAAAACAGACAAAACGGGCAAAACCATGACACGTCTGGCAGACCAATAATGAGCGTCATAGTTTACACAAATCAGAATCATAGGGTCCTTTAATTTGTCACTTATATATTTTTAGCAGTTCTTTGTGTCATATTTCTTAAGCGGTTTCCTAAGCATTTGAGATGGGTAAAAACCTAAGGATGGTATGGCGAAGTGTAGCTATATATTCGAAACAAGCGAGAATAGACGGTCCACACAATAACTACATACATAAATGTATGTTTTTATTTCTACCAATATCCTATTTCTGAAATTGATTTATATTATACAAACAACAAAAGAAACATTTGACATGCAGGTTGGGCCCATGTTGCTTAATTCTTTATACAGAATGTTGTTTCCATTTATATGTATAAACTAATTTCTGTAGTTATTATAGAGTTTTTCAAACTTGCATCTAAAATCTGTCGTGCGTTTTCAGTTTAATTAATTAAGAAGTTTTAGCTTGGTCATTTCTTATCATTCAGGTCAGCTTATGTTTGTTGGTTGAAGAAGCCAATGCAAACTGGGGGGGGGGGACTAAATGGGACTAACACACGGGATAGCATTGATCAGTTGATGAAAAATGTTTATAGGCCGAGAAAAATACAAGCGAAACTAGGCGGACCAGGATTATCAGAAACCTACAGGTTGATTACATCGTAGACCTAAAAAGCCTCATAATGAAGAGGTCGTTAATAAGTTGAAAAAGGAGAAATGAATGAAAGGAGGATTTCCTGATTTCCTTATAGCAAGGGTCGGTGAGGTCTAAGACTTACCTAAGGACGTGATGATGTAATTGGGCGGAGGTTTGAGGACGTTCCTCGACCAAGCGGACCTGATGAGGTGTAGCGAGGGCGGGTTGCCGGTCAGAAGGAGGATCCCAGGACAGACGTAGCCCCTGAACTCGAGGCCGCGGACCGCCGCGACCAGGCTGCCATCCCAGAAACACTTGAGGTTAGCCTCGAGGAATCCCTGAAAACAAGCATGTGATTAGAACGCTCCTTTCCCGGGCAGGGTCGAAATACGTTATTTTATAAAATATCGAAGGCCGAAGGAATGAATAATGAGAGCTCGGTTGCAAAAAGCATGAAATCTCCGTTACGAAACATTTCACTTTTATGGTAGCGCTGTTTTCTGCCTTTCCTAGACGGATATAACCTTTTCGGTTCATCACGATTCTTTCGCAGTGTGTAAGACAAGGGTATAGAAATATTCGGACAGTTTTGAGAAAATCGAACATGTTTGCGGACTACACACATACATGAAAGTCTAAGTTCCCGACTTTTACATTTGTGAACTTACTTTTGTACTTTTGTGAACAGCACAATTCGCGTAAACAGTTGCTTTTGATTTCACGTAGAGATCATTATTTTTAGACAAATAGGTAAAATATTATACAATTAATATTTTCAAATCAGTGCGATTTTTTTCAAACCTGGGATATTCTGGTTTCAATGGATCGGGTTGTACATAAACAATTAAATAACGCATGTATAAAAAAGCTTATTTCCATTTTACTTCAAATATCTGGCATGTTGGTTTACAAGTTAATTTTCAAAAGTAAATAATTAAAGACAAGAAAATTCTTATTTGACTTAGATTTTTCGTTAATCGATACTCCAATCAAGGTTAAGAACAGCCCTGTTTTGATTTATCACTGTATCGACAAAGTCTGCCATCGTTGATTGGCTGTGTCAATGTCACGTAGTATTTAAATTTCAGACCATGAGACAAGTCGTTGGCCTTGTATTTTTATGAGCAATAATTAAAAAGGCTCGCCTATATAATTTTATATAGGTTCTATTAAACCGCACCAGCTAGCATGTATCGATTTAAAATAATTTCAAACGTTCCTTAAGATTGCGTTCAATAATCCCGCAGACAAGCACACATTTTCAATTTAGTATTAAAATTACAAACTCAAATTAGTTATATTATATATTACTTAAATGCCATGTTAAGCATTGTTATTCAGCGGATTAATCGGCATTGCCCCGATATAATTCATCATGACCCTACTTTCTCATGGCATAGACGGAATGGATTAAATTTAACGCGTTATTTTGTTAATAAGATTAACGAGGAATTTAAGTGTACCACCTATCGATATTTTCATTTTTATGTGCTTACGATTTCAGGAAGGTTATTCATAGGCTTTCGCATACGTTTTGTGAGGGTTTCTTCCTGATAATAATAAAGATTAAGTGATTTTATTATTTTATATATACCACAAGTAAAACTCGCAATTTGCACTCGTTTATTTTCTTGCTTCTAACCCAACCTAACAAAACCATCCATAGCACAACTTAACCTAACCCTACCCTAACGACTCATAACCTAACGCAAGTACATCCTACACACCTATTGCTAACTCTATATTATCTAATCTCAATCCAACCCACCCTAATCATTTCCAACATAATCTAGCCTAAACCTAACCCTACCTTGATAGCCCATGTGCACTCCCCGTTTATGTGAAAATGGACAAGCAAAAAAAAAGTGTATCCAGCCCAAAACATTTTGAATTTTAAAATTGCCTGCGGTTAATCTATTTAAAAGTGCCTTGTTAGGAAAAATGTTTGCTGAAATTGTTTTACTGCTTTCTCAATCTAACTTAATGTATTAATCCTCATTCAGAAACTGGTCAAGTGTTAACCAGTAAAAATAAAAGAACTGTGTTACTCATAAAAGTAGGAGTGAAGGGTTCTCAGTTGAGTTCTCTCAGGTTATGAACTAAAAAAAGGACGGACTTGCCCGGCGTGTAAATATCATTACATTGATAGCCTATTTTGTACAGGATCTGAAACTTGGCACTTTTTTCATGGTTAGGTTTTTCTTGAGATATCATACTTTTTGTTCGCTTCAGCACGTGGACCTCGTCTTGTTTGTTTTTTTCGAGGCTCAGAAGTGATTATCATATCGTAGATTTTCTCTTATTATGTCGTTTGGTCCTGTGTTGAGAAGCTAAGAGATTGGCCCCATGGGTGTTGACATACGGTTTGTTCTTAGTAAATAGAAAGAACTTACTAAGATGTAAGTAGTTGTAGTAATTAATTGAATGTTTTTTTAATTAATCAGCTGGTACAGAATATAAGCGTGTCTAATATATATTATTTATATTGTACAATTAATTAAGGTTTTTAGTTGAGATACAAAAGTCAATGGCACGAGCGGGATTCGAACCCACGATCTTCGGCTAGATACGCCGCTGCTCTACCACTTGAGCTATCGTGGCCTCCATCCACTCGGACACTAACTTCCCATCTCAACCCCACCTTTTGAATTTTCCCTCCATTTTGCCAATTGTAATATATTATTGGTCAAGCGGACCACGAAATTAGCGAATTTAAAGAATTATTTATATTTTTCATTTTCGTACAAGACGATTTATAAAAAAAAATATTCGGTCCCGGAGGCTGTTTGAGCTACCAAAACCACCCGTTCTAATGAAGCAATTGAAAGCGCAAAAATGTGAATGTGAAACGTTGCAATGAAAGTTTTTGTTTATTTAATCGTTGCATGCGCGTGGCTTCAAGCATTTCAAAACTATCCTCCCTATCCTTTTCAAAAAGATAGTTCCTACTCACTAAAGTAAAGTAAAGTAAAGTTTTGCAATTCATGTCGAGAGACGTGGTTGTAGAAGTCCTTCAACCTGATGATGAGCTAAAGGGCTCGAAATCAGGACGTTGCATAACAACTTACTCTGAGTAGGAACTATCTTTTTAAAAAGGATTTTACTTTTTTAAGAATGATACCTTAATATTATTAAATTATTTCAAAAATAATAACAATTAAACTAATTAATTTAATTATTTGGACGTTTAATATTATTTATTATTTATGTGACTTTTGAAATTCATGTCGAGAGACGTGGTTGTAGAAGTCGTTCAACCTGATGATGAGCTAAAAGCTCGAAATCCGTATCGTTGCAAAACAACTTACTGTGAGTAGGAACTATCTTTTTAAAAAGAATTTTATTTTTTTAAAGAATGATACCCTAATATTATTAAATTATTACAAAAATAATAACAATTAAAATAATTAATTTTATTATTTGGACGTTTAATATTATTTATACATTATTTATTATTTATGTCACTTTTGAAATTCATGTCGAAAGACGTGGTTGTAGAAGTCCATCACCTGATGATGAGCTAAAAGCTCGAAATCCGGATCGTTGCAAAACAACTTACTGTGAGTAGGAACTATCTTTTTAAAAAGGATTGAACACCACACTCACTCCATCAGTTATCATTTCTACTCCCTTCCTTAAAGCGGCACAAGTTTTTAGGAACTTTTTCGTTCGGGAAGATTTTTCCCTTTACTTACAATATAAGCCCTACTAAATTACTTTTTTACTTTCTACTAAATTTCAAGGCTCTACTTATACTGAAACTGCGTTATACGACAATTTTTGAAGGTAAGACTAAACCATCTAAAGTGGCACTAATTTTGCGAAAATTATAATTTTCAGATTCTCACCCTTACTTATAATATAAGATTTAAATTTTGGTGATGGGACTAACCCCTCCTCCTATAAGCGACATTAATTTTGGGAAAACGGCAATATTCACATTCTAACCTTTTTTAAAATATAAGACCTACCTTTGTAACAAATTTCACGGTTCTTCCTATAAGAGAAATGCCTTTTAATTTTGATGGTGCGACTACACTCGCACTATCTAAAGCGTCACTAATTTTAAGAAAATTGCAATTTTCAGATTTTTTCCTTTACTTATTTTATAAACCCTACCCTTTTAACGAATTTCACGTTTCTAGCTATAATTTTGATTATCAGTGAGTCAGCCAGTAAAAAAGCGCAAATTTTGAAACTCTCCCCTTTCAAAACGGCTTAATATTGAGTGCTCACATTTTTACACTGTCCTAAGCGACTTATTGACTTTAAGTTTCAAATTTCAAAAGCCCATCTTAAGAGGAATACTCATGGCGGCATGCTGGAACTTGGCCAGCGCATTGCAGAGCGCTCAGATTTTTGTTTCGTCGTGGAAAATATGAAGAAATTCATCCGAACATGTGAATAGACTAGATTTTCGAAAACTCAATTAATTATACATAATTTTTTCGAAACGAAAAATTTGTGACACAGGCGGGATTCGAAGCCACGACTTTCGGCTCAATACGCCGCTGCTCTACCACTTGAGCTATCGTGACTTCGATCGCCCATGCCATAAACTTCTCATTTCGAATCCCCGATTTTATTCCAATTGTAAGCAAATCACGGCTTCGTATAGAAACACTTTTTATTAACCATAGTACTCATTAGTGGGACTGTGTACGATTCATAGGTATGATTCTAGATTAACTAGATTTGTTAATTTCGATGAATGCAGTTCTTGCCTAAACTGTAAGAATGGAAGAAAGTGATTGGAATTAGGTTTGAGGAATGCGTTTAGGTTTGAGAACATTTAGGCCGTTTTGCGTTTATAGAGTCAATAATATAACATACACAGTCCCTTGTTTATTTTAGTGATTTGTAGGATCACGAACAAGCCGCACGAAGGGTTTCACTCTCAACCGAATAAAACACATCGATCTGCAACCGGGCTAATTTATGCCCCAGATTACACCTCATCTTCGTCTTCCGATGTCGTTTATCCACGTCGATCCCCTCGCCGGTTAAAACTTTCAAATTCACGCCGGGTAAAAGCGAAGGCGGTAAGAGTAGGTCAAACCGGCTTACCGTCTACTTACGGCAATCGGCCATATGTTGATTTAAAACTTGTTAAAATATGCAATTCGAGGGTTAAAACAAACGGGGCCTAATTGAGAGGGGTCAACACTCTCGTGAACTGTTTTCCTCCGATCGGTTTTACAAAGAGGTGTCTCAGTCCCGACGGGGCATTCACTCGCAAAGCTTTCCATAGAGGTGCATACCATTATCATTCATTCATTCCTAATAAAGCAGTTCTCAGAAGCACGCGCTTGGTGCAATTGTTAAGAATCGATAAAAT